CTCTCTCTCTTTCTCTCTCTCTTAGACATTTAGTGCCCCCATCATCTTCTTACACATGTTCATTCCATTTCTCCTCAATAGCCGTCGACATAACAAGTGCTCATCATCATCGCATCGAATCAGTGATCATTTTCCTTCACTCCTTCCCCCCCCACTTCCCCCCCTCCGTTTCTCCCTTTCCTCGTCGTCCTCCTTGCATTGTCGTTGTTGTCCTCCTTCTCCCCCTCCTCCTCCTCCTCTTCCTCTGCACCATCATCATCATATCAGAATTGGTCCTTCTCCTTCTCCTCCTCTGCTTTCTCCCCCTCCCTTTCATCCTCATGAAGAAAGATTTGATGCTCTATCCTCATCATCATCGCTGTTGCTCTTGCCTGTTGCTCTTGCCTGTTGCCTGTTGCTCTTGCCTGTTGCTCTTGCCTGTTGCCTGTTGCTCTTGCCTGTTGCTCTTGAATTGAGTGTGAGTCTTTGTGTGGCTGTGTTGGCTCTTCTCAGGTACCAGGTTGTGAGGGAGAGATTGCAATCTTGGTCTAGTGCTGCAATATCGAGTGCTGCTATGTCGTCAGCCGCCAAAGCAGCAATGGTAGCAAGTGGAAAACTGCAGGGGATGGTCACACAGCAACGCTCGCCAGAAGAGGGGGAGACAAGGTAGTGCAGTCAGCTAGCCATGCTCAGGATGCTTTCGATGCGTGACATACCATGACGCGATAGGATTTGGATGTTGAAATTTGTGGAGCGTTGCTGCCAAATTCTTCTAAAAAAAGGGTCCTAAACTACACGGGACTACTGATGGTAATATGGTACAGTGGGAATTTGTGACTTTGGGACTTGGACTGGGGACTACGAGAGTCGTGAATCCTTTAAATAAATAACTCTTTCGAGTTCTAATAATGGTATGCCGCATGCGATCTACTCTCGGTATGCGTACTTCGTGATAGGATTTGGATGTGGAAATTTGTGGAGCGTTGTTGGGTATCGACAAGCATGAAGTCTCTACCCTGCCCATGTGGCCGAATGGTACATACTGGGACTGTTATCGAACACACCATGAGTTTGAGTCCTGGTGGATGCACATGGAGTCTAGCACTTACAGCTTCTGTGTAACCTTTCAGGCAAGAGAGAGGAGAGTTTCTCTTGCAGGCTCACTCTGGATTTGGTGGTTCGTTTATTGTGTAATTTATTCAATTTTATTGGTAAAAGTGTCTTTGCGAAAGGAAGTTTTGGAATCGCTATTAAACTGCCAAAATGAGCCACCCAAGGTCGACTGAGGCCTGCGATGGTATATAT